CCCGCTCAGTGCGTTGCCGCGTTGCATTGGCCCGCACCAGCCACCGCTCCCGGGACGCCCCGCCTCGTGGCCCGCCCTGCTGGGGCCTGATGCCGTGCGGCCGGCCCCTGCCCCGCTGCCCCGCCCCCGCCACCGCCGCCCCCGCCGCCGGCTGTCCCGCAGCGGCCAAGCCAAGAGCGGGGCCGCCACCGCCCCTGCCGGCGCTGCTGCCCTGGGTGCGACGCTGCCTCCGCCGCCGCCTGCTCACCCGGCGCCCGGCGGGAGCGGCGCCCGCACCAGCAGCTCCAGAGGCGCGCGCTGCCCAAGCCCAAACGCAAGATCGAGGCCATCGTGCAGAAATCTGCGCGTGCAACAAGGACGCGCCTCTCCGACGACCGTCCGCCCCGTCGGCCCGCCGCCGCCTGCCGCTGCCGCGCCGTCTCCGGTCGCCGCGCCCGTTCCGGCGCGTGGAGACAAGCTGCCCGCCGCCCTGAGCGCGCTCAAGTCACCGTGGCTGGCCGGGGCGACCACCCCCGCCGGCGGCGGAGCCCAAGTCCGGCAGCCCGGCGCTCACGGTAACCTGTGTGAAGAACCCCGCCCAGAACAACCCCCCGTCGTCCCTTGTCATAACGCCGTACTTCCCCAAGGTGACAGCTTTGCCGTTGGTGACAACGTCTCCTAGCAGCTCGCCCAGCGTCATGGGCGTCGCCGGCGCGCCTCCCGCCTCGAAGCCTTCCTCAGTCGCCCCGGCGGTGACCGTGTCGTGGCCCACGGCCTCGACGAAGGGCGCGCAACCGCTTTCTTCCACCAAGAGCAGCCCAGCGCTGGAGATTGCGGACGCAGCGGGCGCCAAGGCAGCGCGTTCGAAGGGCGCGCCTCCCGTCGCCCTGTCCGCTCCCATCTGCTCGTGCGGCACCCCGGCGAAGGTGGCCTCCGACCATTCGGTCGGGTGGACGAAGGCACCCGCGTCGACGGCGCCCCTGAAGCTCGTGCCGGAAGGAAAAGCGCCTCCCGCCCCGGTGCCCGCGCCGCTGGCGCTCACGTGGCACAAGGACATCTCCGCGGCGGCGAGAGGCGAGGCGCGCGCGCCCGCTGGATCGCCTCCCGTGTCCGCGTCCGCTTCCGACGTCGTCGCCGTCTCTGCGCTGGGCGTTCCTACCGCCAAGGCCCCCGCTCCCCCGTCGCTGACTGTCACGCGGCCCAAGGGCGGCGACGGGGCCGTCGTGGCGGCGGTGACGGTGGCGACGAACGCGGGCAAGGTGACGGTGAGTGCCCAGAGACCGAAGACTGCGATGGCCAGGACTAAGGAAGCGACCAGTAAGTACGCGCGAGAGAGTGAAGTGTTAAAGTCTGATAGTTCGAAAGTGGAAGTGACGCTAGACAAACAAAACGAGAAAATGACTCCAAGCCATGCGGCGGGTCCGACGCCTCCCAGTGCGACGACGACGGTGGCTGTGACGGCGAGCAGTACACCGATTCTGATGGCCGAAAGTGGAACAGGTAAGTTGCCAAATACTCCCTTCGTTTTATATTTTGTGGTAGATAGAGACGAGAACAGTAAGAAGAAAAAAGTATGTTATAATTTTTCATTCGAGAACCTACTTGTTTTACTTCCTCTCGCCTATCAGTTCTCGTTTTACTATCTCGCTTTCTACATACTTAGGTAGTAAAGCGAAAGAATTGTAATGCTGTAACGGAAAAAATGTATATCGAAATAGTGAATAAAGTAAATTACTAACGCGTTCTGTAGTCAATCCAGGTTTTATGGGCTCTTGATACCGAACAATTGGTTGTTTCACACATGAAAACGTACTTTGCGAATAAAGTGTTTTTTTGTATTTTAAAAATCATTATAGGTTTTCATTATGGATCCCATTGAAGCATCTGAATACTTAATAAAAGTTTGTCTTGAATTAATAAAACAGAAATACATTATGTACATGACAAATTATTTTTAGAAAATACTTTTTAACTAGCTTTATCTAGTTCGTATGGTTGGGGTTTATTCCATATTCAAGACGTATAATAGTGTGTATTTTGTTTTCTGTGCCTGCAGAAGTCCCTCCGCTGTACACAATGACGGGTTTGTCCCACTACTCCATATATTTTATGATAATGAGACAAACTGTTTTAATATTGTAGTGAAATACCCTGAAACTATTTTAGACGAGATAAATGGAATTCTCGAAAGTTATATTTCAATGTGAAATGGCTCTGTCAATCGTATGCATACAACAATGTTACTTGAATAGTGACGCTACGATTTAGGTCTCTTTCGTTGACATATGAATAAATCTTTTGACCCTAGTATGTTTGTCACATCCTACATGAGTCATCTCATTTGTTTCTAAAATTAATTTAATATTGTGATTTAATAACCTCATTATCTACAGAAATTTTCTTTTATGTCCGTGTGTACACTACGTTTAACTTTTCACCTTTCGCGGATAATTAGTTTCTAAATTATTATCCTGTATAATGATTATGTAAAGGAGTTTCTTATGCCTGCCCATTTTCCTTAGAGTCGAAGTGTATATTAATATGTGTATATTTTAATTTGTCAGTTGATCCACTTTCCCCATTTTATTTCAGTTCCCACGGCCTCCCCGGCGTCCTCGGGAACTGCTACACTGACCGTCGCCTCGCCCAACATCACAGCCACTACAACGTGCGCGACACCGACTGAAAACAAGACCGGAACTTTTAGGATATCGTTTATGCAAGCAGGTCGCCTTAATCCTCAGTCTCGATCACAAAGCCACAGTGCGAAGGCCAGGGCGGCGAGACGTTCATCGGGTGACCTCAGTGACGTGGCGCCACCGCTCGAAGAACCGTCACCCCATGTGCAGCTTGTCCCCTTTAGTGACAAACGTTCGAGTGAATTGTTACGCGAGGCGAGTTCGCGGAAAGAAGACGTAGCGTTAGGTGACAAAATACGTAGAACGTGTGATAACAGCAGTGCTACATTAGTTGAGACGATTCTTTCACAAAAAGAATCTCAAGGACGTGAGAGTGACTTAGATAACGTTGTGTCTGTCAAACAGTCTACCTCGAAATTAGAAAATGTCAAATCACAATTGTCAGCCCCTGTTGCAGATCGCATATCGAGTCCCAGCGATAAAATGACTAGTCAAACCCAAGTACCCATACAAAATGTGGACAAGGAATGTACTGTAGGTGCGGTAAATAAAGACACTGAGTCCATCGCAAACGTATCAGGCGCCTCTGTAAGTGTTGTTCCAACGGCTAACGTTGAGGAAAAGAACCAGAAATTAGTTATCAGTTGCGAAAAATCGGAGCTTAGTCAGGGATCCAGTAATATTAGAGAAAAGTCAATCGAAACTTCTGATGTATCGCATGTGAAGTGTACAGAAAGCGGTAATTTTCAACCATTACATCTTGGTTTACTTGGCGGTAATGCTCAGGATTTGAAAGAGTGCACCAGGTTTGAGAATAACAGTTCAGATTCTCACATCAAAGTTTCAGATCCTTGTAGCACTGAAGGCCATAAGGATCGTTCACATTCTCAGGTTACTTCACCTAACTCAGTAGTTTCTCAAAACAGAGGACCCAAAACTCACGAGAAACAGCGGTTGTGTGAGAGTTCTTCTGAGGGAAAGGAGATTGAACCCCATTTTGTAAAACCCACTTCTTCCTGCCGTGCGAGCATCGATAGTTTGTCTGAAAAGAATGGCATCTCAGGGACATCGATCTCGGAAAGATCCAATAAATTACTACCTTGTTCCGAACAATCCTCAGGTAGACCGCGAATTAAACATGAACCTGAAGAGAATAAATGGGCTAAAGATCATGTATCTAGTGATCTTTATTTATCAAAGGATCACCATACCTCTAGAGATCACCACCACCATAATGATCACCATTCCTCTAGAGATCATCACTCTGAGCATCATTCTTCTCGGGATCACCACAATCCTAGTGACCATCATTCATCTAGGGAACATAAGCACAGATCTCACCATAGACACAGTTCTCACCGAAGTAGTAGCTCCCGCGATTACTCTTCGCACGGCCACCACTCGTCTCGCCACAGCACCACCGGCACAACCCACAGCAGCTACAGCCACGGGTCCCACGGCCATCACAGCAGAGGCCATCACGGGAGCCACGGCAACAGCCGCAGTCATAGTCAGAGCCACGGGCGCAGCGCGGAGCGCAGCCACGGCCACCACAAGCACAGGACGCCGCCGCGCAGCGTCTCGAGCGACGATCGCCACCCGAAGGCGGAGGGCGGGGAGGGTGGAGCGCCGCGCCCGCAGCAGCACGTGCAGTGCAGCCTCCCGCTGGCACGCGTGTCGGGCATCTTGGAGAGCTGCCAGTCGCTGGCCAAGGCGTCGGCCAACAAGCGGCGCCTCGAGCAGCGCCTCAGCACCTTGCCCTCGCGCGCCCGCGCCTCTTCGCCCGCCGCCCCCGCACCGGCGCCTCCACCCGCGCCCGCCTCCGGCAGCAGCAGCAGCGGCAAGGCCCACGACGCCGACAGGTCCGGCGTCGAAGGGCTTGGAAAGGTGGCCGACAAACGATCGCCGGCTGAGTCTAGAACGCGCTCGGTCGATTCGGTTGCTCAGAAGGAAGGCGACGTGCCTCATGGCAAGGCAACCGCGGATGGCAGCGTCCGGGAAGCTGTTAAACGTCTCAGCGTGGACTGTAGCCCCCAGAAGGTCGAGGGCGTACAACAGAGTAAGAGTAAAGACGTATCTAAAGGTGTTGCGTTGAAGGGCTCGGACACTCAGGGTGTTTCCAACGCTAAGGTTCAGTCTTCTGAGTCATTACAAAACGATAAAGCAACGCCACTCAGCGCGAGTGAAAAAAGCACGAAGCTGCCGCAAGACTCTGAATCTAAGACTGATGTTGATATTAAGCAGGCTTCTGCCTCAAAGAGTGCTCAAGAAGAAAAGACTCAGAACGTCTCTTTCACATCCATAAAGTTGCCTTCTGACACGAATACCATGACAGTCGCTCTCGTTAATGCACATAAAGACATGAAGGCGCCGCTGGAGAATCACACTTCAGAATCTATATTACGAGATGTTGAACAAACCCCCATCAACGACTCTGACATTTCTAAAAAGTCACTCTTAGTCAATGCTCAAAACTCTGTAGAAGTGTCTCCAACGAAGACAGACATCACCTCCAGCGAAACGTCGTTACCTGGAACTGAAGATGAATTAAAGATAAGCAAAAGTTCTGATATTTCCTGTTCTAGTACTCATAAAGATGCGGAGGCTTCCAAGGTCAGTCATAAGAAGTTCCAGGACCCCGCAGCGTTTTCAACAAAGATAAATGTATCGATCGGGACTCCTCCGACCGTGGCTGTGAAGTCAGATGTTAGTGATGTCAGTAAAGACATTGATTCTCCTGCCAATAAACTGGAGGGACATGACAAGGTTTTGGCAAAGGAACCTGCATGCGCTGATCAGATGATTCATGAAAACGAGAAAATTACTTCTTTGAAGAACGAAAAGAATGTAGAAAAACACAAATGTGAAGCCAGTGACTCTGTGCACCTCTCTGATAACAATTCTGCCGATTTACGATTATCTGTAGATAAGGAAAGTAAGGATCACATGGAAGGAAATGAACGTGGGCTATCGAATAATGCCCAAACATTCGATGGTGACGTTAGCGCGAAGAGTAGCGAGAAAAATCTTACTGAAACGGTTGGCGTTAAAGATAAAGACACTTTGGAAAAAAGAAATGAAGTTGAGCTTACGACAGAATCGTCCCGCGATGCATCTGTTTCAGAACGAGAACTAGAGCAAGAGTTCCCTGCAGTAAAAGAATTAGAAACAAAAGACTCCAAGAAGACTGAGGATGTTGAGGTTCCGGGAAATAGTATGAAAGATCCAGAAACATCGCCAAAAGAATTAACCTCAAAGGAAACTGAATCCGATTTGAAACGGGCGATCCAAGAAACATCATGTGAAAATTTGCCAATGAAGGAAGATCTAGTGGTCGAAATGCCATCAAAAGTGTTGATATCAGTACAGGAAGTATCTGTCAAAGAATCTTTAGATGTAAAAGAATCAGAAAACACTCATCTAAAACCAACTTGTGAAAAGCAAGTTGAAACGAAAAAGCAAGCCGAATCTGAACTTGAGGTGCAGCTCAGTAATGAAATTCCAACTCCAGATACATGTGCAAACTCTCAGGGAGAGCCGATCGCCGAAATATCTGTGAATAAGTCCATGAAAGTGACAATAGAGACTTCGGAGAAAAATCAACACACAGATGCTAAAATCGAGGCAGAGATTGTAAGTATATCTGTATCGAAAACCTCAACTGATGAAAAGCAAAACACCGATGCAATTCCTGATAAATACACTGAATCAATCGGGCCAATACAGAGTGATAACGACCTATTGCACAAAGAACTCCCGGAGGCGTCATCGACGGAAATGTCTGAGAAAAGCGTGGAAGTTACACCTGCAGAGAAATTGACCATAATTAAAACTAGTGATGAATATTCGGCAGGATCAATCTCAGAAGAAAAGACAACGGAGATATGTGTTCTGGAAACACCGCCTCTTCCTGATATAACTAGAAAGAAGTCCACTGAAGAGATGTCAGAGAAATATTCGGTTGAAGAAAAATTAGAAAAATGTTCCACAAACCAGAAGGATATAAAAAAGTCACCCATGAAACACAAATCACCCGCTAAGGAGGAAAAGCTGCAACACAAATCTAGAGGTAGATCACCCAAAAGTACCAAAACGATAAGAGTATCTCCCAAAAAAGAAATTTCTGTGGAAAAGTCTCCCATAAGTGATCATTCAATGCCACTGACTCCCAAACAGAAGTCAGCGAAGGTCAGTGTAAAGAAAAATAGAGAAGAATCATCTTTGCAAGGTACTTGTAGTTACGAAGAAAATATTGTGGAGTTTTCACCCTCAAAAGAAAGCACATTTAAAAATGAAGAAACTCTAGAAAATTCTAATACAGATGGGTCTAAAAAGAAATCTAATGTAGAGGAAAAGCATTCAAGAAAATTGCTGTTTGAAGAAATTTCGCAAGAGAAGTCAGCAGCAGAAGTAACAGCTCCCAATAGTGAATTGCTCGAAGAAAGAGACATAAGTATCAGTCCACAATTATCCAATGAAAACCAAGAGAGTTCGATAGATATCGAGGTGCCGGACTCAAAGAATCTGGCGGCAAGAGATGAGTTGATGGACGATGAAAAACGGTCAAGCCAAACATTTCCTGTAACGTTAGTTGAAAACAAAGATGCCTCAGAAAGTCTTTCTCTGGTTGAAGTTTTAAACACGGATGAAGATAAAAACGAGGACAGATCTACCGAACAAAAAATGGATGGACTACAATATTCTGAAAACGAAACCCCTAAGGAGAAAGACGAAGCGTTTACTTTGAAGGAAATAGAAAGAACTGATGTTGAATCTAATCTTCCAGACAAATTGCTTGACCAACGAAAAGATGCCTTGCTTGAACCTCGTAGAGAAGAATCAATTTGTGAAACGGTAGATGTTAATACCATTGATGTTAAAAATAATGAATTGTTAAAACCCTCTTCAAAAGACGAAGTTGAAACGCACTCTATGGAAGAAAGTGGTACAACGGATTTACAGAAACAAAAGAGTTCGGATGAAAATACAAATAAAACAGTTGCCCAGGAGGATGGCAGTGATAATGAAAAGAAAACGGAAAAGTGTTCCGGAAGAGCTGTAATTGCGAAAAAGTCACCCGTCAAAGGAAAGAAGGAGAAATGTAAGGAAGAGACCATCGAGAAATCGTGTACGGAAGAAATAGTTGAGAAGGAAATGGACAATGACACTCCTTCAGAGTCAGCTGGGCTACAATCATCTTCGAAAGAAATAGTCATGGAAAAGGCGCGAAATAAAGAAAAATCTAATAAGAAATCAAAGAAAGAAGAAAGAAAATTGGAAGAACGCTTGGAACGAAGTGATGCCCAGAATTCTGACAAAGATAATACTAGAGGTAAAGAAACTATTGAAAATGAAATACCTAGACAAACATTGTTATTGAAGGAGGCTAGAGCTGCTAAATCTGTTGCAATGGCAAGAATACTGGACAAATCCCCTTCAAAAGATATGCCTATTCGAAATGAAAAAGATAGTCTGTTCTCAAAACAAATTAAAGAAAGGGCTTCAGTGGGATCAGATATTAAAAACGCAGATATGGACACTTCAGAAGAAAAATATCCTGCAATGAAACTTGAAGAAAATGTTACAATCAATCTGCCATCCAGTGAAAAATCAGGAGTAATCTCTGGTAAATTGAAAGTGAAGAAGTCTCCTGGCCTTGAAAAGAAATCGAGAAGTGAGAGATCGGTAGGGGAGGTAAAACGGCTTTCTATAGAAGCTTCTGTCGAGACACTCGTGAAAGAAAACACATCTTCGGAAGAGGAAACGCTCAAGGAAATTGCGGCGAAAGATACGTTAAAAAAGATAGAAAAAGATGGACTCGTCGGATCCTCTGACAATTTCACCGAAAAAACTTATGATAGTTCCCCAGTTCAGAAGTGTTTAGAAGAGAGACTTTCTATTCAAAACGAAAATGAGGTGCCTTTAAAATGTACAACAGTCGAAAAACATAAAAGGAAAGAAGCATCTTCTGATATACCAAACGATGAGTTACTAGACAAATCAGAAGATATTAGAGAAAAAACAGAAGAATCAACAGTCGTGCCTTTGGAAGAAGTTCCAATATTCAAACATCGAAGATCCTTGAGGAACAGGAAAAAAGATACCTCCGTAGAGAAACAGACTCCAGAAACAAAGAAGACTCCAGAATTAGAAACAACTGTTGGTAAAATTGTCCGAAAAAAAGATAGTAAAAAGGATCCATCTTCGAAAGACACAACTGAAAAATCGTCAGACAGTCCAGAAGCACTCGTAGAAAAATCTACAGAAGTGATCACTGATGAAAAGTCGGTCATTCAAACTACCATCAACGAGACCAGTGTTAACAAAACGACGGAAACTGAGAAGGTAACAGGTGAGGAATCTGGTAATAAGACTCCATCTGAAATCGTTCTATCCACCGAACAGCCATCTTCTGAAAATTTAGATGGGACGCCTCGAGTTCTGAGAACTCAAGATTACTTACTGCCTCCGAGCAATAAGTTCCTCTTCCAGGAAGAACAGGCGCACTTCCTTGATGTCGGGGACGGCCAGCGTCTCTATGCCTGCGACATATGCGTGGGAGTATACCAACGGAAGTTCAGTCTCAAGCGCCACTACCTGCGCACGCACATCAACCGCTATTATCTCACGGAACGCGACATTAACAACTGCGGTATCACCAAGACATCTCAGGACACTCCCGACACCACTGGCAACAACGCCGAAAAGAATGTAGCGGAGACTACTCAAGCCAGGGAGTCTTCGATTTCTGTTAAGGCTGATGGCATTACTGAAATTCAACCTGTAAAGGATCCTAGCAAACTAGGATTGTTCTGTTGTTACCTTTGCAACGAGTATTACGATACAAAAATTGATCTAAAAAATCACTTGGAGAACCACCAGCCGACAGTGGTTCCCAATACGACCGCTACTGACATAAACAAATTGTACACCTGTGAGAAGTGCAACTCTGTGTTTACTCAGAAAACTTCGTACGTGCGTCATTGCGTGGCTGAACACGATTCGACTTCCCCCGTCCCGTCGCCCGGGCCCATTTTCACAGACAAAGAGAAAGACGGCAAAAAGAAGTCATCGGCTCCCTCGTCACCTGCGCATACCGCAGACAAACCTAAAGAGAGCAAGAAGAAGTCGTCGGCCCCCTCGTCACCCGCGCACACCGCCGATAAATCCAAAGAGAGCAAGAGGAAGGGCGCTCCGTCGCCATCGCCACTCACCACGGCGGCGGACAGAGTGAAGGAGGGCATCAAGAGGAGAACGGCCTCGTCGTCCCCGGTGGGTCGCTCTGCCTCCCTCGACAAGAAGCACAAGAGGAAGACGTCATCGGCGTGCCCGTCGCCGGTGCCCGCCCTCGCAATGGAGAGACTGGACGGCAAGAGGAGGGCCACGGCCTCTCCAGCCCCCGGCCTCCCCGCCGAGGCGGACAAGGCGAAGGACGAGAAGGAAGGGAGGCGGAATTTGACGCTCGGTCCCTGCGCCGCGCCCGGCTGCCGCCGCCCGCCGTCGGCGACAAAGGAAGGAGCAAGGCGCCATCTGCCCCGCGGCGCACGGCGGCGGTGGGCGCCGCTGGTGGTGGGCACCCTGTGCCTCTACTGCAACCTGGACTTCGCGTCGCCGTCGGCGCGCCGCCGCCACCAGAGCCGCGTGCACCTCAACCAGAAGAAGCACAAGCGGCCGCAGGAGCGCTGCCAGTTTTGCAACAGCCGCTTCCGCGACCTCAGGGTGAGCCTTGTCCTTCTTGCAATCGCCGCGAATAAATATTTCATTGCGGCATGAGGTTTCAAAACCCCTCACGTTCCCTCACGTTGATTCTGAGTGGATCTTCCGTATAACCTCCCAATTTTTCGTTTTTAATTGTTTTTAAATAATTTTTAAAAGGTCTCACCCCCATTTTGATATGCCGAAGTCATCAATAGTCTCGTATAAATGTATTATTTGAGTAGGTGTGTGGGTTACAAGTTGATTTTATGTTGTATTGTAGTTAAACTAATTTTTTTAAATTCGTTTCCGCGGAGAAATGTAACTTTTGCGGTGATTCGGTAGTATAAGAAGATGAATTCCTTGTATACTTGTACTAATTTTGGCCAATGAAACTGCATCGTTTGATGCAATCCATTCTAAGATGTAAAAACTTCATTGGAATTCCCATGTACTTTTATTGAAAAAAACCGTAGTTATTTCTTAATTTTACCCTAAGCTTGCTATGAAAATGTTAAAACCTCTTGTTTTTCGGATGACCCTCAATCACGTTGAAGCCTGAAGCCGTTGTAGTTACTTGGACGTCTATCTAGGCCAGCGTGCGCCGTTCTCCGCTCAATCTGCTCTAATCGGTTGCCGCCTCCGCGCGCGTCGTCGGCCCACAGGTGCTGCTGGAGCACTGCCTGGCGGAGCACGCGGACGTGTACTTCGCGTGCGGGCCGTGCGAGGAGCGCTTCCAGACGCGGCAGCTGCTGCGCGCGCACGCCAAGGGCCACGAGCTGCGTGACCCCGACGACCGCAAGGACAAGGAGAAGGACAAGGAGCGCGAGCGCGCGCTGGCCTCCAGCTCGTCCAGCAGCCGCAGCCAGAGCCCCTGCTGCCACGCGGAGGCGGCCGTGCGCCCGCCCGCGCGCCCCGCCTCCGCGCCCGGCCCCAGCTGGCTCGCGCGCAGGTCAGTGCCGAGGGCAGACATTACGACACGCCGCCTGGGGAGGTCTACGGATATATGAGGGCGTCAGCGCAATAGTGGCCTATCCCCAGATCCTGTGATTTTTTGAAAAAATGGCTGATGAAGTTATTGGCAAAATTAAACACTCATTTGTAAGTGTTTTCATATTATGATATTATGTAAGAATGACCACTGCCTAAACATTGGTGGTGGATTACATCTTGTGTAAAACAGCATCGCCTATGCTTAGGCCACTATTGCACAAAGAAATGTAATCGTAAGGTGAGTGCAATAGTTCTTTTTGTAATTATAACTTGAAAACTATCGACGCGAACATGCTGAAACTGTTACACGTTGAAGTTAGGGAGATTGAGATGTGATTAACACAGAGAACGCAATTTCCTACAAATGTGGGATAGGCCACTATTGCGCTGTCATCCTCCTATAGTGTTCATCCGACATGCTTTTTTCATTTTTTAAATTTTTTTTTATAAGTTACTCTTAATCTTCATAACGTTAGCAATTGATATATTGAATGACTTTCGTGACTACAGGCTCATAATTTACTTTTTTGTATTCCAGCTTTATAAAAGAACCTTTTCGGTAGCACTAAATCGTTCATAATCGGGCATTTTACGGCACAATTGATGACGTATTAGATTTTATGTCACGAATGATGGCGTCATCACACGTTCAGCCAATCGTAGTGAGAGAATCGGGGGTGGTAGAGCTAAACGGAACAGCCGACCACCGTTTACTCTCACGATGTCAAATATCGGAGTCGTCACTGGGAAGTTTTTTTGCAAAATTGTTTGATTCTCTTATAAATGTATAATGCTGTTATACAAAAAAATATAGTATGCAACTTGTTTATAATGTTCCTTTATTACATTCGTACAAATTTGAAAACTCGCTCTTAAAGTCGCTCGTTTTCGAAACATGTACTCATGCAATAAACCTTAACATTGTAAACTAATTGCATAAACTACTATTATCTCTACAATCTTACAATCTACTTCTTGTGGGAAACTTGTTTCTTGTTATTCGTAATATTACCAGAGTGGTTATAATTACATTTTCCGTACATACGTGACGGCAAAATGAGTGGTCGCATGTGCAGGGAAGGTAATATGAACATTTTGAAGGACATGGGAAGGAACAATAATATATAATTAAATCCGTTGGAACTTCGTTAATGCGTTTCAACAATCAAAATGTATGATTTCTGTGGACGTAACGATCCTCAGCGTATAGTGTGCGATACGGCGGTCTTCATGGTACCGATTAATATAAAACTGTAGGGATAGCGTGCTTGCACAGCTGCAAGATGCGTAACTTCGATTGTGCAAAATAGGAATCCGCTACACATCTCTCATTCGCATAACATTTTCTGAGTAATACATTTGATGACTATCGAATTGTTAAGGGATAGTTTCTGCGTTGACTACCCCAATCCCAGGTTACAGAAGTTTCTGGCTGTGAGTTTACCTGGAAAGTAGGGTTGATCACGGGAACATTCGCACTCTGGGCTGATATGACAAGTCACTTTAGAGATGCTCCATGCAACTGTGAATCATGCTACCCTATATCTTGACAATCCTTGACATTGACACTTGGATGTACTCCATCGAAACCATCCGAAAGTAGATCCAATATGTATTAAATAATAATTTCATATAAATTAAAATGATTTTATATTTACAGCATGTGTTTTGTATAATTGTTTTTAAGATTAGATGTGGAGGTTTAGAAAATAATTTCCTTTCTGTGATTAGGTTCCTAAATATATTTTACGAAATAGATTATCTGTATAATTAAACAGCTATTTTAAACAGGGTTCAGTTGAATTGATTTTACGAAAATAAACAATTTGTACTACTATTTATAAAGGGATGTTTGTATTTCCGTGCCATTCATCCCTTTTCTATAAATTCGACTATAAGTCATCTATTATTAGAACACTTCACCGGTATTCTAATACTACTTATTGTGTCAATGAGCTTTAGATAGAGAATACAAAATGTGATACTAAAATATGAAGTCGATGTGCGTCGCGTTTCCCCTGACAAACAATATTTGTTGTAATATGTTGTATTTTACGACCATCTTTTGTAGGGTCCATATCGTTATTCTTGGGATTTGGTCAATTATTTAAAAACCTATTTTAGTTTGCCGACGTTTCGGAGTTCATTTCTCCATCTTCAGGGCTGTATTACATACACAATACGGTTTGAAGAACTAGTACACAATAAATATATCCCAATACAATGGGGGAAAACACTCACATAAACATACCTCACTAACGTTAGGAATGTAAGACATACATTACAATCACCATGGTCACCGCCTATTTGTTATTGCGTTTAACATAAGTATTTACAATTTTTAATGAAATTATTGATATTTTACAACGCACGTGAACAAAGATCTGTTAACATTGAAGAGAACAGTTATTTTTAACAAACTATTTTTGCGAGTTCTTGAATACTTCTACTTAATAAATTATGCCCTTAAATAAAACTTTGTTACTGAGAAAATGAACTAAAACGTATGTTAACGATCCGAAATACTTCACGGGATTATATTACATTAATACAATTCAAATAGCAACTGGACATTTGTGGCCAGTCCTTCGTTTTGTTGCAAAAACAGCATTTTTTTATTTCTAAATATTTTCAGTCACGAAATTCTAGGTGCGTCAAAAATGACATGAGTAATAATGAGACTCGTCCTGTTTAAAGAATGTCTTATGACGTCATTTCCTTTCTAAGGCGTGTATCATATTCGAATTGTTTAACGTATCGAATTTCTTCGGACTCGAATTATCTCAGTCAATGTTCCAGTTTAATAACGAAGGAATCAGACCTCATCGCAGCTCTTACCAGTGACAAACTTCCGCCCAACTGAATAGCTGGACTTGGCCCTCGGTCCCCCCACCGCACTTGGTGTGCCGGCGTTTGCGTAATCGATGCGCCTTCCTCAGGGACTCGCCGCTGCCGCGCGACGACTTCCTCATGGACCCCGAGACGCTCTTCTACTCGCGCCTCTCGTGCAACATCCGGGAGAACCTCTTGCACCATCTGGTCGGGAAGGTGGAGGACCTGCCGGGGCGGCAGCGGGAGCCGTCGCCGAGCGGCGACGCGAGCTCCGCCCCCGCCCCCGCGCCGGCTTCCGCGCCCGGCGGTTCGCCGCGCCCGCGGACGCCGCCGCGACGCACTGCGCCGCCGCGCCTAGCTGCCGGCGCGGCGCCGCACCGCGCCTTCTGGAGAAGTACCACTTCCCAAGAGCTACAGCGGCGGGCGCGCGGACTCGCTGTCGCCACATCAAGGACATGTCGCACCTACGAACTCCTGACGCAGATCACATGCGCCAGAACCTGCACCGCATGACGATCGGCGGGCGGCGTCCGATCTGCCAGACGACTGCCGCTCGCCGAGTGGGTCTTCGGGCACGACCTCGGCCTACTTGCGGGCTCTCGACGCTTGCCTGCTGTACGAAGTAAAATTGTTATTTTCCAATTTTGTTATTACTTGCGCCAGACATTCAGATACATTTTTGGCTCTTGCTACAGTACTTCGTGTTAGATATGGCAAATAAATCTGTCTCGGGCTAAATTACGCGTAGCTATATTTAATGCAACCGAAACCTGCATTTTTGAAGCTCAGTACTACTAAAAAGACCGTTTTTGTCAGTTTGATAAGAATACTATCCGTCGAAACTAAAAAAATTCAGTTTCGATAATTGTTTGCCCTTTTGTTATGTTAAATTTTAGTCTCGCGTGTCTAAACAGGCTGTGCGTAAACTTTTTATGCATGTCCGCGCCATTTCTTGTGGAAATTTCTTCTTCCAATTGATTCCAATACGTCAAAGTAAGGCTAACTCTGCAACCGCAATAATGACGAGCGTGCGGGTTGTAGTGAAAATGCTTACACGTAGTTAATAATCGTGCTACTATTAAATACTATTACTAATTACCTAACTTACTATTACTTAAATACCTATAAATAATAGTCTTAGTGCACCAGTAGTTGAGTTCGACTTCAGTGAAAATTGGTAATAAATGCGATGTGAGATAAATTACTCCTCATAACTTGTACAAACGTTATAAATATGCGCATTTTCACATTGCAAACTATGTTGATGTAATGCCTTTATAGGAAAACAACATTTTGCGGGAAAACCAAGACGAGAATTTATAACTAATTGAAAAATATAATTCTACTTAAAACACAATCGATTACATTTTCTTATGAAACTTTAATTCGATTTATTTAAACGTAACTAACATACAGTAAACTTTCCGTACCATTTAATGAAAAAGTACAGTTCCAATATCGACAATTGCACTTCTTCTGCGCACTTGCGGGTAGGGAAATTGCCTTCATCCCTAACCAATAAATCGTCTATTTCTGTGGATGGGCTTCACGCTCGATATTTTCATTTGGGTATGCAGCATGGGGAGGTATGAGGAAAATGTTTTCAAGTCATTACGATGTTGCTTGGCGAAGCTATTGAAGTGGTCTATCGAGTTTGCATCCCAATGTTGAAACGCTGGCCCGCTGTTTTCAGGTGGCTGCCGAGGAGCGCGAGACGAGCCAGGTCATGGACTTCCCGCGGAGCTCTGCCTATGGAGCCGCGTGGCGCCCGCAGGAAACCGCCCCTCCACGCGGCCGCCCCAAGCGGACCGACACCGCCCCGGCCCCCGGCAAGGCAGGCCCGCGCGCCCCCCCCCCGCCTCGCCGCCACGGGCCCGACGCCGCCGCCGCTGCCGCCCGCCCCCGCGGAGGAGGTGTGCGTGCGCGTGACCCGGCGCATGTCCTCCAAGGAGCTACGCGAGCGCGACGGCACCGCTGGCGCCGCGGCCGCCAAGGCTCCCGGGGTGAGTGCGCGTGCGCCGTGGGGACTTTCCGTTGCAGTGTCGGGTTGGAAGTTCTTTTCAACTTTTCAGGATCACAAATCATATGTTCATGTTTCAGCGTATATTTTTATGTATAAATTAATTTACGTGTCGTATTTATTTATTAATATCAAAATTATGGAGCAACATCGTCCTGATTCACAATTCAGCATTGTTAGTTTCAATGAACAGAGTAAAAACTAGTGTGATAAATCTTTATACTGATGACATATTACGGAACTGCCTAATGTTCGTTTTTCTTAATAAATGTACCAATAGTGCGGAATGAAACTAGGAAAATAAAGGTTTCCTCACTTTGCGTTTGAAGTTAATTAACATAATTTTGTGAATTCATTTTAGAAAAAATTTAATGACGCTTTCAGTACAAATGTGATAACGTAAAAACAACTTATGTCTAAGGAGCTTGCAACTGATCAATCTTAAAATAAACACATTTAAAACTGCGATTCATGATTGAGTTAAATTTTAAATTTAAAAATGACAGGATATTCTTCAGACATTAGTAAAGATTTTGGATCCCACCATTGCATCAGTTGACTTTTAATGTCGAATTTCTAAATAATTAGATTCTAATAACTTGTCAATTGCTGTCACGTGATAGCGGATCAGTAATTGAAGCTCAGGATCTAACGTGCAAAAGGTTTTGTTGTGACTAGGGACTTACAATCGTCCAGTAATCGGAACCACTTTTGCGTATGAATGTAATAAATGGATAAGTAATATATGAAATTATTAATAAATATCTGGCGAAACTCTCTACAAGAATTAATCGATTCCAATAATATCTCCCCAAAAGTTTACACGTGTCTAAGAACTATTTTACTTAGTCAAATCATATTCAGTATTTGTTTAAAAGATTTATCTTATAGCGCTTCTTTCATACCTAATTTTGTCTTGTGGATCATCGTGTTTTTGAATTCGTACGTGATGCGGTTGCAATCGGTCCATGATCACTCATCATTTGAAATGAGTGAAATCCAGAACGGTATAAGTGACATTCTATTATTCTGAGAAAAACGTGTTTATTTTAGGCTATATGGCAGTGGCAATGTATTTTCGTGGTTGTAATGAACATTTGAAATGCTGTGGTTTGAATGATGAAACAAAGCACCGCGATTTTACAGTGATATTGACTTAAATATACATATCTTTTAGAATTTATAAAATGTCACTTATACCGTTCTGATTTTCACCCATTCATTTATGCGACGTATAGTTTCCACTATTTTTTCCATTTTAAAAATTGTGTAAATATTGGTTTAACGGACAATATTGCGCCATATTCTCATTCTTATCATCGATATATGCCGCTATTTACTCGTAGTTGTATATGGTTTTCAGACGTCGACTCCAGATACATTTTTTTCTTCTTATCTACAAATCATACCTCGCTAGAGCGAAAATCGATCATAGTCGACATTACGCCATTAACGACACGACGTTAACTAGGACACGTTGCGGCGCTTAGCTCAACTACATTAGCAACTACGTCACGAAAATTATGGCTGATCCTATTCATTTGACGGGATTGGGGCTATTCTGCTTAAAACGTGTTCGATATTGTTTTAGCCAACCGAAGTGTTTGTGTGGATCAGTTGACGCCTGCGTATAAATAACTAAAAAAACTAGCCGATTGCGTGCGAACAGTCTTATCTGTAAATGTTTTAAAAAGTTAAAACAGCTTCATACAGCAACCCAAGATCGAGCGTCCCCAGCCCCTGAACTGTAGAATTACAGCATTATAGGCCCGGAGCTGAGTGAGAGTAACCATTCTATAATATCGCTGTGTTGTGATTAAATTGAACTGAAAATCAAGTAGTCACTTTAATGATATCGTGAAAGATTAATTCTATTTCTTCAATTTTATTTTACACAGCATTCTCCCTCGTTTCTGACCACCCTTGCTGCGGAATAGGGTCACCCAGGCTTGTTTTATACATACGGCTTAAGAAACATAACTCCTGTCCAAAACCAGTATTAAGGACCTACGATCCTTGTTTGCCGACCTACGCGATCACACTTACGGTGTTTTGTGCCGACAGTGTCTTATAACTCGTACATAATCGTGATCTTTCTCTAGCGAATTGTATACCGAGGGGATACTTCACAACAGACTCAAACGCTGTGTAATCTCATATCGTCCACGATCCGAAATTAGTCTTGAGACAAACCGTCTCGATAACCGTATCGACGATTCGCGATATGAAGCGCTTCTGGACAAGCGTATACGGTCAGCAAGAAGGAAATACGGTTAGTTAGAAGGAAAGACCTTTGTCATTATGGTCGCGTTGTCGTTCGTTGTATCTTGTACGTCTTACGGACTCCGTCTAAAGGTTGTGGAAGGTTAGGATACGGCGTTTGACCTCAATTATTGAAGTAGTTGACATAGTAGCTGCGATATTTATAGCCTCGGTGTCACATTATTTACTGAGCTTAAATTATTACAGTTATTTGTAAATATTTGCTCAAGTTAAATTGTTTTGAAATGCCAGTTAGTAGGAAAATTCTGATATTTAGTAAAGAGGACGATGTTTTTTAACTGAAGTTTTTTAACATGATCGTTTTGGAGATTGAAGTTAATGGAAGTCTGTAACAAATAACATTTTAAATATTACTAATAAGTGTATATAAGATCACAAGATGATATTGGATCTGCGTAATGTAATAACCGCAAGTATTCCGAATTAGATAAAAGTGACAAAGAGGGAATGGCAACATAATAGTGTTCGTGTGTTCGTAGTAGATGTTGATTTTATACTTCTTTCAGATGATTAATTTCTCGTAAGTGTGTATTTGCCGTAGCCAAATGCCTATTGAAAGTTTAGAATGAAGAAGAGATGCTTAGTGTCAATTGGTAACTGGAAGTAAGTATCCTGGAAAGTTCCTGGATCTGTTTTAAATACTTTTTCAATCCTGGAATAATTATAGATCTTTTACTGTCCATCATCTGAAATATATTCTCTATATTTCACTGCATACATTAAACTTATTAATGTTGTGTTATGTGCTCTTGTGTCATGTGTGCATTTTTGTTCTGCAAAGAATTCTTGCACTGGATGTAGATTGACCTGTTCAAAGTGTTCCTTTCGAATATTGTGTAATTTTATTTTGGAGTTGCTGTAGTATTACAGTTGTTTCTGTAGTTGTGATCGCACGAACCAAACGAACGTTGCCATGATTTTTTCGTTTTGTAGTGTAATTGTAGAGCGATAGGGCAATGAATGTGTGTCTTCCCTCAGGGATCTCCTACCACCCCGACGCCCCAGGCCTCCGGCGGCGCGGCTGCGGCCGGGCCAGCGCCGGCGGTGGCAGCGGGAGCGGGCGAGGGCAGCTTGGGCGCCACGCGGCGCTCGCCGCCCTCCACGCCCG